TAACCCGGGTTGAGCATTCTAGAAGCCAACCCGACCCAAGGAAGTAAAATCCCCGACCCAATCCAACGAAGAACACGGGTTGACACATGTCAACCCGGACCCATTGGAAGGCTTGGCTGTGACGATAAGCCTAGGCGGATACGGGCCGAACTTAGCCAGCCCATAGAAGCCTATCAGGTCTGGTAGGATCCTACAGGCCTGTAAGTGAGAGTTTTAGACCAAATAGTTTGAAGATTGGCTCGATTCCTTACCACATTTATCATAGTTTATTATTTTATCTATCCTCAGTTATTAGCTGAAGTGTGATGACTACAGGATTACTGGTTCACAGCCAGCTCAGCGGAGTCCGGGCAGTCTACCTCCGGATTTTCTGGGGCAGCCCCATCTCACAAACCTTCCTTCTGGTTCAGTTTCTTCCGCATGAATTCTATTAAATCCATCCACGAATGTGCCCGCTATAGTTGTCCCAATTCTCTTCGCCCTCAGGGATTTTCATCAACCACGAGCCAATCCTCATCACTACCCACACACCCACTCAGGCATTAACACCAACGCATGGAATTTTCGTGGGGACTATACAACTTAAGTTTCTTCCAGGAGTAACTCGGACTAGTTTCATCGGATGAGAGATGAGCCAAAAAGAAACCAAAGTTCTGAGGGGATTGTAGGCCAGGTCATATAGGCCCAGCCGGCCCATCTGGTAGCAGGAACCTACCCTATGCAGCCTATAGCTGGGCCTGGCCTGACCAGGCCCAGTGTTCGCAATAGGGCAGTCCATCCGTCCTGAGAGGAGGACGAGGACAGACTGTGACTTGTAGTCTATCTGGCCCTGGAGAGGATTTTGCCTGGGGATTTAGCATGAGGATGGGGAACATGGGGCCCCATTCCTTTTGCTTGTTACTCCATTGCTTCTTTTCTTTCTTCAGTGTAGCATTCTCTTCCAGTAGTTTTCTCAGCTCCTTTCTCATACTGATTCAATCACTTTTCAACTGGTTGTACTTATCTTCCTTACCCAGAGTCTCATTAGCCTCAACCACTATAGCATCTTGCTTGACTATCTTCAAACCTTTACTCTTTAAATGAAGAGCAAATTCTACATCCCTTTGATAACAAGCAAGTGCTTCTATATAATTAAATTAGTATTAAGTATCAATAATAGTAGTAATTTAGAGGCCTACTGTGCTGCTGAATTACTTCTTGTAAATACTTAACCTCTTTCCCAAATGTCTCTGAACTAGTATCAAGCTCTTCTGGTAGAGGATGGTACTTTCGAATGGTTGGTAGGATTAAGACGATCAGGATAACCTCCTTCAGTAAACTAGAATTGAAATCAATAAATAATAACCTAATCAACAAGACCCTAAGAATTTCTACTTACTTGTTGAAGAGAAAATTGATTTGAATTAAGTGGTTTGATTTTGTAGATAGTAGGAGGTGGGCTTTCAGAGGCATAGGAACTTGAGGGAGGACCAGGAGTAGCCACAGTTGTTGAATAAGCTTTTAGACGAATAAATTTGTCTAAAAAGATATTAAGCAAGTAAAGGTAGTAAGAAGTATAAGGAAGAAAAGTAGAGTTACCTGACAATTGCTCAACTTCATCTTCACTATCAAGATTTGACTGCTGCTCAGCTGGAAACTCAAGACCAGAAGAGTGCTGATCATGTATAAAGGTAGGAGGCTCAGTCTCAGGATTTGCTTCAGGTTCAGGAGAATAAGGAAGAGACTCATGGTCAGCTTGAGTCTTTTTTCTTTTCAGCTAAAGAGTAGAATTTTGTCAGCAAAAAAAAATAGAATTTAGAAAGATAAGAACAAGAAAGATGTTACAACTTACACCAGTCACAACAGTAGCAGTATGTGCTCTAGGTCTTTTGGATTAAGACATTGATTTAGTAGGCTGTAATGAAATTTTAGGAAATTCAGTTCTGCGAGTAACACCCGTAGTAAAATAATCCTAAAGTTTTTAAAAGATAGAATATCAGCTAAGAGAAAGGAATAATTTGGGTATTTAAGTATATTCTTTCAAGAGCAGCAAAAGGTTAGAAAAAGTTTTTCAAAGAAAAGTTTTCCCAGATAGAAAAGATTTTCCAAGAAAGATTTTCCCAGATAGAAAAGCTTTTCCAAGAAAAGTTTTCCCAGCCTGGGAAAATTCTTAAAAATCTTCAAGAAGGTACTACTATGATATGGAAAATTACTAAAATAACATACCTCAAACCCATTCCAATCCTATTCTTTGACTATCAGCCAATCTGTATTTATTCCTGTTCTTAACAAATTGTAATTATCCATAGAAATATTTTCCAGAGCTTGGCCTTTCATATGACTCTCTAAGAACTTGCTGAATCCAAACCACCACTTTCTCTACTCAGTGGTAAATTTTCCATCCAGGTTATGAATTAAACAAAAGCCTCCATTTTTGTCATCTGTAATTTTACTAAATTTGGTCTTGCCTACTACTTGAATTTCGTCATCTATTCAAGTATAATATTAGCTTTCATAATAGTTTAATCTCCGTGGGTTGGAGTTGTTTCTTACAAACAAATTTTAGGACTGTACTTTTAGTGATATCAATCTTGTTTACTGACCAATCTTGATATCTGTTACTCAGAGGCAGATGTTGATAGGATTGCAGTTCAGCTGCTGTAGAGAGAAGATGAATGGTAGAGTTCTTAGTAGACATTAGAGAAAGGAGCAAATGATGAAAAACAATGCAGAATACTGAGAATAAAGAAATAGGCTAGGGTGGAAAAGATAGTCAAGTAATAATAAAGTCTAGAAGAGTTGGAAAATCCTTTCAACTAGGTAGAGAAGAAAGGATTTTCTCAAAAAGACGGAGAAAATATGTTTTCAGAGGTGGGTGAGAAAAATATTCAAAGAGCAGAGAAGCAATTTTTTTCAAAAGTTGGGAGAGAAAATTGTTTCTTAAGAGGAGGGAGTGTGTATTTATATAAACATCCAGAGAGAATAAAACTAGTCCATCCTATCAGGGAAATGTGATAGGATTAAGTGAATTTGTTATTCCAATCATGAAAGATCTAAGTAATTTATTAAAAAAACTGTCACATAAACTAAGAGTACCATTGTTTATTAAACAGAACAAAGGAAAAGAAAATAGGTAGGGGGGGTGGGGGGTCCTGTAATTGGAGAGAAAAAAAGTTATAAAAGTTAAGAGAGAAAAAGTAGACAATTAAGCTATAAGAATATTACAGATCCAAATCTCTATTAACCAGATACATATTAGCAAGTAAGTACTTAAGAATTTGGCTCTTGATAGCTGGTATATCCTTTTGACCATACTCTAACTTGTCTCCTTTTAATAACAAGTATGGAGTATGGATAACAAAGTAAGCACAATCCAGAGAACCTTTGCTTTGTTTTGGGTACCTAGTCTGATTTAAATTAGTATAAGATAAAGGTCAGAAGAAAAAGAAGTCACCTTGGGTTGCTTAATAGTCCAATTCTTGATAAGAGGAGCTGAAGTTTCAGAGGAAACAAAGTGTCTTTTCTGAGCTTGTTCCCACAAGGCTAGTTGAAGTTATGTAAGAAAGGATCTTAATTTCTAGAAGATTAATCTGTTAGAAGATAAAGATAAATAGGATGAGGATAACAAACCTCTAAGATGGGTTCCTCTATCTTATAACCGAGAGAGTTAAAAAATTCCAGAGTTTGAGTTTCAATTCCAACTCTTATGAGAATCCAGTGATCATCATTAAGAAGTAAGGAAAAGTAAAGGAATTCAAGAACATGGAAGTAATTGAAACAATATAAATCAGTAAGAGCAGGGGGAATAAGGAAATAGATCTCCGGAAAAGAAGTAGCTGGAAGGGAAGAACTCAGACAGGAAAGCCTGGCTACTTGACAAGATTGCTTATCCTGTAAAGAAGCAAAAGAAAACAAGATAGAGAAGAAGTAGTCAATAACTGAATCCTTAGTCAAATAGGAATCTGAGCTAGCTATCTGCTGTAAAAGAAAGTATAGAAGAAAATACTTGTCATCTAAGGATCTTAAAGCTGCCTATTGAGATTCTCGTCTACTACTAGCTTCAGTTTATAGTATCGATTGCTCAATTCCCGTGAGAATGGGGCTCAGAACAGTATAGCCGTTGGTAGTGTGCTGGTGTGTGTGTAGGGGTCTTCGTCAGAGACGAAGAGAGAGAGGGGGGAACACCCTCCATATATACTATGGGAATGCCTACTCGAGTAGTCTCTGTACCTCTTCGAAAAGGTATTGTGCCTCTAGCCTCTATTGGTTATCTTACGTATCATGTTCCATCTATACCCGATCCGGTAATCGTATCACCAGGTATGTGTGTGCTAACTTCAACGCACCCACCCTAAATGAAAGAGTATGAGCCAATCGCTCCCCGTAAAGAAAAGAGTCCCCTGCATCACCCCTGTGCCAAAGAGTGAGATTGCGTGATGTGCCAGATGATGTGCCAGGCCCAGGTACCTACCGTTACCACGCAATTTGGGTGTGCGTCCATGTCACAAGTGCCATGTGCCGGCTTTTGTAGAAGAAATCATAAAGGCCCGCAGGCAAGCCCCGGGTTCTACAAAAGTGGCACATGACATAATCCTCAACAGCTGGCTAGTACTCGTAACCCGAGATGATCTGATTAGATTACCACTGGGTGGTATGGTTTGTACTCATTTGTCACGTTCTCGTTAGTACTCGTTATTCCATTAGTGTTGTATCTCAATAGTACTCGCTTGTCAATGTTAGTCTTTCGTCACTATTCTCGTTAATCTCACGATCTCACGATACTCATCCCTTTCACTTGCGGTCAATGTCACTAGTAGTCGACGGTGACGCTGACGCTCTACGCAGGGGCAAGCCCCTGCACCCCATCCTTGATAATCTGGTCCGGGGATTATTAGTGGTCGGATGTCATTAGTACTCTTTTGTCACTAGTAGTCTTTTGTCACGATGTTTCCATTTCACCTTCCGTCATCAGGTCACTTGAGTCATGAGGGTATGAGGTGTCCGTTCTACCCTATTCTATTCTATTCTGCCCGTCCGACCCGGCTCCGGATCTCAGCCAGCTCTTCCGTCATCGTCCACAGCGTCTCCGCTACTCCCACGGTCCACTGCTTCATCCCTTCGGTCCACTCCTTGATGGTATCAAACCGCTCGTCTATCCTCCGGTCGCTCTCGTCCATCCTCTCCTCCAGGCCATCGAACCTGGTCGCCAGCCCCCGGACATCATCGCGGATGTCGTGCACCTCGTCCTCCATCCGAACCGGGGACTCCTGCGTCGCCTGCACGTACACCTCTGGTCGCGACCGTAACTCCCGGTCCTGTTCGCACACCTCCGACGAGGTCCGCGGTAGTGTCGTCTCCGGTACCCTCGACATCGATGGATCTGACGACATGCTGTCCTCGTGCCTTTTTTCCGATGGCTGCACCTGTCGCTCATCGCTGTCAGTATTCTGTACCCGGTTGTTAGTTTGGTTCATTATGCGAGCGACGTACCTCTCGATCGTGATGCGCCCGGTGGTGTCCCTCGCTCCTCGCTTCGCTTCGTGTGTGATGTTTCTGTAGTTGTCGTGGGGGCACCCTTTACTGTGTCCCCTTCGCTGCTGTGTCGCTTCCCGTGTGGTGGTTCTGTGGTGGTGTTGTTCGGGTCACGATGTATCCTCGTGTCGTTGTACCCCTCGATGTATCGGGGGTGTCGCCGTGGGCGTTGTGGTGTTGTCGTTGTCGTTGTAGCAGTCTCGGTGGGCAGGCAACCGAGATGCGGGGATGTGCCATCTATATACCCTTCTTCCTTGGCGCCAAGCTAGCCCGAATGCCATGTCGGAGTAGGCGCGTGCCTTCCTGGAAAGGTCCTGTGTCACCATACCCGATCGCGCCATTAGCCGGGGTATATTACTGTGTGAGCCAGTCGCTACCCCTAAAATAAATCATTGAGCCAATCGTCTCAACCCTGCCACCTGAGCCACATGTGCCAAAGAGTGAGATTCCGTGATATGCCAGACGATGTGCCAGGCCCAGGTACCTACCATTACCACGCAATTTAGGTGTGCGTCCATGTCACAAGTACCATGTGCCGGCTTTTGTAGAAGGAATCATAAAGATGGGGGCTGATGCCCCCGTTCTACAAAAGCCAGGCACATGACATAATACGACATAGGTGGCTAGTGGTCCCTTTCCAGCACTGCTCGTAACACTCCAGATCAATCAGATTAGATTACCGCCGCGTCACGTCAGTAGTGGTCCTTTCCTCACTTGTACTCATTTGTTCCTGTTAGTCTTTCCCTTCGCTTGTACTAGTATTTCATTGGTGGTTTTCTCATGATGCTTGTTTCTTTCATCTGTGATAGTAATCCCACGATGCTCATTATTTCACTCTTGGTTGAGGGTGATGCTGACGGTCTACGCACAGGCAAGCCCCTGCACCCCCCTATCACACTCTGATCCGATGATAATTAGCAGTCTGAGTTCTTCAGTAGTTCGAATGTCACATTTAGTCAATTGTTACAATATTCCTTAGGCTCATATTCTTGCACATAGATAGTGTATTGCTTGATATGCTATGTTTATCCTTCCGCCTCCGGCTCCAACGGGGCTCCTTGGAATGCCTTTTGGTATCCCTCGACTAGTGCGCGAAGGCCAGGGATGGTCTCCTCCCTTATACGGTCCATCGCTCCCCTGTGGACCGACAACAGCCATGCGTACCTCGCCCTCATAGCCTCCAGCTCTGCCCGGAGTCCCTGGTTCTCATCTAGTAGATGTCGCACCAAGGCTGCGTCTACCACTGTCGATCCTGTCGCTACCGATTGATGGTCAGAGTCTATCCCCTCATCGTCATCATCACCTATATGTATTGCCTGTGTTGATTCAGGTGTATCTGGTATATCGTGGCTGTGGGTTGCTACCGTCAGTTCTCAGACCGTCCATCTTTCCGTCACCGTCGTCATCCTACTCTCTGCTTTCGCCATTGATCGTCTCCGGTTTGTATGTGTGTCCCTTCTTCTGGTGTCCCTTTGTCGTCCGTATGGTTCTGGAGGGTACGCCACTGTCCTATGCATTGTACTCACCAGGCTCGCTGGCTCGCTAGTTATCGCTACCGTCAGGACTAACTGGTTCATGCCGAACGGTTCTGTTGTTGGTTCGATGTATCGCTGTATCAATGTATCCCGTGTATTTTATCGACCAACCGTCTCGTATTGTATCATAGCCTCGATGTAATGTCTGGTATTGACCATGTTCTGGAGGTGTAGGAGTCTTCGTCCACAGACGAAGAGACAGGGGTGAACCCCCGCCTTATATAGACTGTGAATGTCTACTCATATACATTCTGTGCCTCTTCGATGAGGTACAGGTGTGGGTGTACAGGGTGTTCCCATTGGTTGTCCTACATGTTCTGTTACAACCGTTACCCCATCCGGTAATCGTATTACACGGTGTGTGTGCTAAAGCACCCCCCCTAAATTAAAAAAGTGAGCCAATCGCTCCCCCGGTCGGCTGAACCGCCCCTGTGTCAGAGAGTAAGATTCCGTGATGTGCCAGACGATGTGCCAGGCCCAGGTACCTACCGTTACCACCGAATTTACACGCGATTTGGGTGTGCGTCAATGTTACAAGTGCCATGAGCCCCCTTTTGTGGAAGGAAACATGAAGACGGGGGCTGACGCCCCCATCCTACGAAAGCCGCACACATGGCATAATCCTCAGTCTGTGGCTAGTGGTCCTATTTCGTCTGTGGTCGTACTCCCTGAGATCAAACTCATTAGATTACCACTGGCTGGTATCGCTTGTACTCGTTTGTCACTTGTAGTCAATTCTCATGATACTCTTTCCTTTCTCTACACTTGTTTTTTCACGTTTAGTTCATGATGTCACTAGTGGTTGTTTGTCCCTTGCAGTCATATTTCTCTTGTAGTCCAGGTAACGCTGCTGCTCGAGGCAAGGGCTTCGCCCCTGCACCCCCCTATCCATTATCCTGTCCAGGGACTATTAGTGGTCGAGTTTCGCTTGTGGCCTCTGGTCACTCTTCGCTCACGATGCCATCCATGGTCATCCTCATCTCGCTTGTATATGCTTTCGTGATGCTTGCCTTGCTAGTCTGTTCTCATTCACTTTCTCTTTTACCAGTCGTTGTACGCGGCTGCTTTCTTCAATCTCAAGGTTTGAAGCCGCTCTTCCTCCAATCGCGCATACGCCCGGCGCCTGCTCCATGGGATTTCCTAATACTTTGTTCCATCATTGTCCATGTGTCAGTATCATCTGGTCTGTCCACCGTCTCTCATGTCTCTCCCACAGTGACTCCATCAGCAAAAATAAAAGTTTGCGTCCAGTGCATCATGTGCGTCCGACGCACAGGACGCACAGACGTAAACCGTTAATCAGAACACAAGACGGCAGCTACCGAATCTCAGGACGCAACGGTCCTTGGCGCCAGAACTCAGGACGCAGCCAGAACGCAAGCGAGCCTTGGTGCCACAACTCAGGATGCAGCCAGAACGCAAGCGAGCCTTAGTGGCAGAACTTAGGATACAGCCAGAACGCAAGCAAGCAATACTGCAATACCAGAATTAGACCTTGTGACCCAGGTCACATATGTAGATTCTGAAACCTTTCACATAAATAGTATTTCTCATCATATTCAAGTCGGTTCTATAATATATGATACAGAAAGAAAGCGCCCCCCCCCCTCCTCCCTAACCCTTTGCTATGAAGCTGGCCCAAACCACTTACCTGACAGGAGATAACTGCACCAATACTGGGGCTGGGTAGACGTTCAAGGTACCATCGGAAAGCTGGCGTCGCGTAGAACCAGG